AGGGCAGGGGGGCCAGGTGGCAGGGGGTGGTTCATGGGACAGCCTTGGGCCAACTCTGATGCTTCTCCCACACCAAGGCTGCCCCCTCAACCCCCAAGCCAGGCAAGTCTTGAAGTGGGGAGTCACCTGGTTTTTGCTTTCATGGTCTGTGGAAGGTCACTTTCTTCTGGGTCTTTGGGTTCCAAAAAAAACATCCCTTTTTGGGGGAACAAACTGACTCTGAAGTTCCTGGAGTATCACTGTGTCACCCCCAAGCATCTGGGACCCATTGACATCTACACCTAGCCTTCCTTGCTCCAGAATGTTCCCAGAAACCCACAGGGTTTGGTCAGGTACCACCTCACTCCCTACCCAGCCCCCTTCTCCTCTGGGTTCATCTTAAAGGACTGTACACCTCCATCAGTGTTCACTAAGTGCTCAGCATTCTATTATCTCAATGATCTCCTGGTGCTTGTGGTTCCAATGAGGAAATGGAGGCTATGAGGAGAGGGACACCTTGTCCGGGTTCCTGATCCCTTCCCATGGAAAGTGCAGGGCTAGCTCTGGGCAGTGTGGCTCACTTGGTTGGTCATCCCCTGCACTGAAAGGTTGCTGGTTCAATTCCTGGTCAGGGCACATGCCTGGGTAGCAGACTCAATCCCCGGTAAGGGGCATGCAGGATCCAGCCAATCAATGTTTCCCTCTCACATGGATGTTTCTCTCTCTCTTTCTCTTTCCCTTCCTTTCTCTCTAAAAGTCAATTTTAAAAATTAAAAAAAGAAAGAAAGTGTGGGGCTGGGACTCAAACCTGGATCTGCAGGCACATCCAGGCAGGGCCTTTGTCATAATTTTGTCCATCCCCCAAAATCTTATTCATTCTGCAGAACCCACCTCCAAAGAGTCTCTCTGCTTCTCCAAAATGGACGGCCACCATCCTGATAGACCCTTCGCCCACTCTCTTGGATTCTTCCACACCCCGTAAATGCTTCCTTCTCTGTCATCTTCCTTCCTCCAAGTTCTCCTGGAATCTGGCTATTGTTCAGGCAACTTCCTGTGCATGGCGTCAGGACCCGTGTCTGCCCAAAATTCTGCACTGCCATCAGGTCCTGCAGTCCCCAGAAGAGATGGTCAATAGACCCTCCCTCTATGGCTCCTGTTGCACACCCAGGGACCCCCAAACACCATTCCTGCCACAGGTTCCCCTGGCCCTCTTGTCCCCTCCCTTCCCCTGCTCACCACTCTCTACCCTCCCAGGCCATTTCTCTACGCAGTTCCCTTCCTGCCTCATTTTGACTTTCTAAGGTGCAGTTTCTCGGCCTCTGCACTGTTGACCTTTGAGCTGGAGTGCCTTCTGTGGTGGGCTTTCTGTGGACTGGTAGGATGTCGGGTAGGAAGTTATGCAGTATCCCTGGCCTCAACCCACTAGGTGCCATAGCCTCCTACCCCCAGGTTGTGACAAAAAAATGCCTTCAGGTATTATCAAGTGTCCCTGGGGTCAGAATCATATGTGGTGAGAACTTCTGCTCTAGAGGATGAGGCTGGAGTGTCCCCCTCCCCTTCTGTATCCCCAGCTTGCGGGAGGGCTTAGTAGGAGCTTGTGAAGTCCCTTTATTATGACTGAGTCATTTCACTGCCCACTAATAACCCCATCTAATAAATGAGGAAACAGGTCCAAAGAAGTTTCTGGACTTGCTCAGGGTTCTCAGACACTCCGGCAATTGAACCCTTGACTTGCAACATGTTCCCTCCATTTCCAGGAAACAAACCCTTCCCACAGGACCACAAGACCTCAGTACTTCCTCCCTCCTCCACCATCCTCCACTCCCACTCCCAGCTTGGGCTACCAGAATGTTCCAAAACAGTGTTGCTGGCCCCCACACCTGTACTGTGTTTCACTGATGAAGGGGGTTAGGTTTGTTCGATAAGATGAATTTGACCTGCTCAATTTCTCCCCCAAACCCCCACACAATGGCCCAATTATAAACTTTTCTCCTTCCTAAAAATGCCCCGCTTCCCTTGCTGGCTGTGGCCAAATGAACCAGAGGCTGAGAAGTCAGGACTCAGGTCCTGCAGGTCCGTAAGGGTTCCAACTCCAGCAGGAATCTGGCAGTGACCAGTGGCTGCTGTATGTCCCTGGCCTGAGACTTGGCCTCTCTGGGCTCTGATTTCTTCATGTGGAATAAGAGGGACGGGGGTAGGGGGGTGGGGAGTGAGGACACTGAGATTCCAGTTCACAATGTTTACTCAGCTCACACCTCCTGTTCAACTGCTGTGTGCCAGGCCCAGGCTGGGGCAGTGGGAACCAGGCAGATGTGAGCTTTACTTTTTAGGGGTTCACCCAGTCTGGTGGGGGAGGCAGCTGGGACTCAGTCAATCACCACGTTCAAGTACAGCAGAGCTAAGAGAGCTGATCAAAAGGAGCCTGAGGTAGCAGGGGAGGGGAGGGTTCCGGAGGAGATACACCAATGGACGAAGGATGAGAAATAGTTGGTCACAGAGAGAGATAAGGACCCTCTGGCAGAGGGAACAGCTAACGCAAAGCTCTGGGGTGGGAAAGCACTTGCCAAAAGGGCACTGAGGAGGGCTGGAGGGTCCCAGGAGGAGGAAAGGAAGTCAAAGATGCCCTGGAGGCGTTGCAGGGGAAAGAGAAAGAGGAGGGGGAGGAAGGGAAAGGGCAGAGCAAGAGTCTGTGGGGAGGTGAAGATGAGGGAAGTAGGGAGGGGGAGGATGGGGGGGAGGGGATAAAAATGTAGACAGACCATAAGGAGGTGATGCCAGGAGGGAGAGGAGGAGGAGATTTGATTCTGAGAGAGACTGTGAAACTGGCCTGGATCTGATTCACGCTGCAAGATTGCCCCCTGGCGACCCAGTGGAGAACAAGCAGGGAGATGGGGCCGGTCCACCCTTGCATCTACCCTCTGGCCCTCAGAGTTGGTCACAGAAAGTATGACAGCCTGACCCAGGCCGACCTCAATAGGTCGAGTAGCTGTTAAGTCTTCCAGCCTCGGTTTCTCCATGAACAGAATGGGGACAATATGCCCCTAGCCCCTTGCCAAGTGCCCCTGTGCTGATGGGCCCTTTGCCTGGATGTGCTCAAGTGATTGTCACTAAGTCCTAAGGACCTACTGCCATCCCCACTTCACAGAGGGGCAAACTGAGGCAGAGGCAGGACTGGAATGCAGGACCCCAGTCCTGTCCTGGATTCCAGGAGCCTGGTCTGGCCCCTGGTGGGGACCCAACCCCTCCCAAAGGACTTGAGAAACACGCCCTGGCTGGGTGGACCCGTGGGTGTCCCTGGCATCCTAAGGTGCCAATTAAATGCTTGTGGCCATCTGGGGCCAGAGCTGTGGATGGCAGCATGGCCGACCCTGGGCCAGAGCCTGGGTACGCTTGGCGGGTGCTTGCCCTGTGTGGGGCTGCAGTGTTTCTGGCAGCAGCTGCGGCTGGGGCAGCCCTACTGGCCTGGAATTTGGCTGCTGCAGCCTCCAGGGGGTCTTCCTGCCCAGACCTGGAGCTGGGAGTCAATGCCACAGTGCCCCCCTGGGACCCCAAGCCGGAGGTCCAGGAGCTGCAGCGACAGCTGGCAGAGGCTGCCCTACGTGAGGAGGCTCTGGCCAGGCGGCTGGACAAGGCCGAGGGTGTCCATCGGGAGCTGGAGGAAGCTCTAAGGGCCTGTGAGGGCCACCAGGTAGGTGGGCAGTGTTGGGGGCTGGGGCATCCAGAATGGGGGGAAAAGAGGATCTGCACACACACACACCCAGGGATGCCCCCCCGTGCCTTGGTTTCCCCAATTAATTTTTTTTTAAAGATTTTTTTATTGGTTTTGAGAGAGAGAGGGAGGAGGGTAGAGAGGGGGGGGAGGGAGAGAGAGAGAGAGAGAAAGAAGGAGAGAGAGAGGGAGAGAGAAACAGAATGAGAGTGGAACATCGGGCTGCCTCCTGCATGCCCCCTACCGGGGATTGAGCCCCCAACCTGGGCATGTGCCCTGACCAGGACTCAAACCGGCAAACCTTCAGTGTACAGGAGGATGCCCAACCGAGTCACACTGGCCAGGGCAGTTTCTCCAATTCTTCTATTCGAATGAGAATAGCACCATAACTCCTACAATGTCAGTTCACCCTTTAGTAAACCTTCTGATCAAGAAGGTCCCACTGTCCTCTGCTATTTGCCAGATAAACGGTGGTGGATAGAGAAGCCCCAGACCGGAGCCCACCTGGTGAGGACCTGTTTTAGCCTTTTCCCTAGGTGCCGATGCAACACCACCACCCTCAGCCAATGTCCCAGCTCTATTTTAGGAAAAGGACATTCATGTCACCTGTAATTAGGGGGCTAAAGTTGGCTTCTTGGAGGAGGTACCAGCCAGGT